GTGTCCGGCTAGCAGAAGGGAAGGCAAGAGCGCTACTTCACCAGATCCGGTGACTTTATATATAGGGTGCTTGAGAAATAAACCAGTTTGCTGAGTTGGAAACGTTTCCCTCTGTGTCTCTTCCTTCGCCTAAAACCTCTGGTGCAGAAAAGGAAAAAAAAAAAAAAAAAAAAAACTAGTGATGGGACGAATTTTATTTCCGAACCGAATTTGTACCTGAATCTGGAGATTCAGAAAGGTTCGGATGATTGATCAAATCTTTTAGCGATTCGGACAGATTCGGAACGTTACCAAACCACGCCCTTCGGAAGAAGAGATAAATCCTATTCTTACTCAAATATATTTATTATACGTACATCATAGACGACACATTAAGCTTCCATATTACATTCGAAATGCGTATCATACGAAAGGTTGAAGGGAATGAAATAATTACTCACTCAATCCTAATTCCTGACGAAAATCCTGGGGCGTTAGCTAAGCCTTACTCGTATGCGTCTCCGATTCGCATGATGCCAACGGCGGAGATTAAAGCTTGTAGGTACGCTCATTAAACGAAACGACGGGCTTCCCGTTTCTCTTCAATTAACGCCGTAAATAAACCCTCCAAAGCTGTTTTATATTCGCGAACGATAGAAGAAAGACGAGATGTGGCGGCCCAACCATCCGAACATTCGTCCCGAAAATTTCGGAAATTTCCAGATCAGCCCGAATCCGAACATCCGGTGATTCGCCCCATTACACCATAACTAAAAACTCTGGCGCCTAGCGTCAAGGAGAATGCAAGGATTGTTGTTCCACGCGCTACACGCGCACGCCTTCCCCTTATTAAAAGGTTCGAAGTAAGTAACCAAAATAATGCGTTGACGACCGCGCGTCCAAGATGCCATTCGTTTTAGGCACCTGCGGCGCCTGGGACACCGATCCCTGCATTCTCCTTGGCGTTTCGGTAATAATGCAATAGTTCCATTAATGTTATGCTCCTGTCAGAGCCTCACTTTTGACTCCTTAGGAAGGGGGATAGCGCGTACGCCAATCCCCCACTACCAAAAATTGCATGTCCCATCTATCTCAGTTTGAGAAAGTGGCAGGGGTCAACACGGCCGAAGTGCAATGACCGCGCCTCGCCCTGGGGGCTCCGCCTCGCGGATCACGGATTCCCCGACACCAGGTAAGTATGAAGTCATCTTGGCTTGAAAACTGTCGTCTTCTTCGACGGGGGTACCTGTCTGTTCCAGTGAGTTCCATCACAAACGTCACAAATATTGCATTTGAGTTACAGGAGAGCTCATGTTTAAACAAGCAGCATATCTGTTGACCGTTTTAGAGGCAATCTCTAATTTACAAATTCCTTTTATATATGTGCCACTGTTAATTTTAGATATAAATTTCCCCACCATTTGATCGGCTGCAGCTGCGGCGGCCCGATAAAACATCTGATTTCGAATTTGTAGCGAACGCGCTTCGGGGGGGGGGGGGGGGGGGGGGGGGGGGGGGGGGGGGGGGGGAGCTTATTAAGCCGCCTCGACAAGATGGTAAAGGCCCATACGCACATTCGCGTTTGAGCGCGGTGCGTTCCGTAGCGGACGCGTTGCGTTGCGAAGACCGCTTGCGCCAAACTTGTACGCACGGTTGTGTTGACACGCAGTCAACCGCAGTCAAGGGCCAATAAGAACGCGCTATCGTCGCTAGTGGAGCGAAATCCAAGGCAACATGGCGGCGCACAGCGACAGCGTCGAATTGTTCGATCTTGGGACAATCTCGCCGGCTTCCCCGACTTTTTGTCAAGCTTGAACTAGGGAGCCTTCATGAAGGCACTCTAGCTTGAAACATCGCAGCCTTGGAAAATACAGTCCCCACCGCTCCCCAAAACGAAAAAGCAAGCTCTGCGACGGGCGAACCGGATACGTCTCGCCGAGTCGGCCGGGTGGGGCGAGCGAACACGTCACCCCCTCTCCTCTTTCGGCTTCTGATTAGTCGAACGCACCCGAACGCACCGCAACGCTTCGGAAGGTTGAGCGAGTCTCTACTCGCTTGCGTCGCGCTACCGAGCGCTGCGGGAAGGCGCGTCGCTCCGCAAGCGACCGCGCCTGGCCGCAAGGACTCCGCAACGCACTCAAACGCGTTCAAACGCGAATGTGCGTATGTACCTTAACTGTATGCCAAATCAGCACGTGAGCCCATTCTTTACCGTGCACGCTGCTGGCCACGTTCCAAAATTTACTCGATCTTACTCCAGGGTAAGGGTTTTCTACCCTAGGCGTTCTGAAACCTACCCGCGTCCAGCGTTTTTCAATATGCGCTGTCACGTGGTACGATCCGCTGGAGGAACTCGGATCCATTTGGGTAAGCTTTCGAGCACAGCCTTTGTTACCTGAAGGAAATAAAGTCATAGGGCTGCTTGTTTCCGGTTTAAAACGGTCATAAAGGGCCCGTCACGCTGCTAATCTTGGTGACCTTCGCCAGAGAAGAGGTTATTAGCGGCGAGATGTTTCGGTGGCGCCCTCGTTCGGTTACCTTTCGTGAAGTCATTACCTTGTGAACAACAAGTTCGGTGGTTTTTGTAATGGGCACGCTGGAAGCCTGAAATCATAGCGCTCTCAAAGCAACACTGCCAACACCGTCAAAACTGAACTTCTTACATTCCTCTGTTTTCCGTCGATGAGAAATCCTTTGCTGACGTCATAGTCAGAACTCAGCATTCGGCCAATCGTAGCAGGCCGACCACAGCGACGCTTTCGTTCGCTCACGTCGCCAATAGCCTATAAGGAAAATAATATACTGTATGTTCCAATAAAAACAAAGCGGTATCAGTATGACAACTTTATTTTGTAAAATTCGGTGTTAATCAAAAAGTGAAAGCATTTTCGAGACGTATGACATAGCTTATGGATATTCAGGAAGGGGATTGCCATCATGCCTTTTAACAAGGGTTCCGTATTTTCCGATTTTTGTTTTCGGCAAATTTAAAGGCTGTTTTTCGGAGTTTATTTTTTTGCGGAAAATTCGATTCTTATCGGATTCTATTTTTGTTTTATTCCCGATCCTCAAAAATTTCATAGTTTAATATTTCAGCGTTTTCCATGAAAAATAAATAAGTAAATATATAAATAAATGTTATCCGGGTGTGAACGTATGCTTGACAAAAAGTAAAGCATATTTATGTCAATCCATATTTCTTCAGATCGACATAGTGTTGATGTCAATGACATCGGAACTACTATTTTGTCCTACCAGAAAAGTTGCACACAAGTCCTGCTTCGATAATCGTCCATACCTCAAAATCAACAAACTCCCGGAGGTAGTCGCTGGGAAGCTTGTATTTATTCCATTTGCAAGTCCGGCTTCAGGGCGCTGCCATCTTGCTCGCTGGGGTGCGCTTGGACGCGTCCTTATTCGATTACGAAGCCAAGGCGTCATAATCGGATTATGGCCGCGCCCAAGCGCACCCCACTGGGCAAGATGGCGGTGCCCTGAGGCCAGACATCCAAACGTGTTCTCCTACGCCGTCGCCATGTTGCTGATGCTGATGCGGCTGGTGCGACTCTCGCGCCCTCTATCAGCTAGAAATTGTTTGCCACTCTCTTGGACTGTGAAGACCCACTCAGCGCGGTTCTCAACCTACGTTTTTGCGGTTTTGCATTCGACGTTTTCTAACCTTCCTTGAAAGTTTCCACTTTATTTTCTTTTATGCGTGCTGCGTACCCTTGTTGCGTTGTCTTCGATAGTGAAAAAGAAGGCTGGTAAGTGCATGCCTGCCATTCAAGCTTTTCTGCTTGACATTCACGGGAAGACGAAGGAGGTGAAGGACGTCGAACGGCCCACGACGCGATTTTGCGAAGATTGTTCTCTCCCCTCCCAGAGATAATCCGCGTAGAATCCTCAGTCATATCCAAAAATAGTTGTCCGGGTTGGGGTGGGAAACGACCCGGGTCAGTCGCGTTTGTTACTTTGCCTTGGTGCTGTTGTGAAAAAAGGAAGCTCTCCTCAAAACGAAGTCATCTTGGATTCCGTCCGATCGTCAAGAAGTGACTGTCGTCGACTGTGACTGTGTTATTTGAGATCTTTCTCAAATAAATTCTTTCGGATAACGCTGCATCGTGTGGTACGTACAATATATTGTTAGAATGTTAACACTTGCTAAATCGTATGTCCGTGTCTTGTTCATCGGTAAATACGTTATTTGTAAGCGTGAAAGATCCATGCCTTTCGGCTATCTTCTGTTGTGAATTATTTTCGACAGCTAAGCGCTTTGTCGTTTGACATGCGTCGAATCGCGCGGCGCCGTCAAAGCTTATCGTAAAAAAAAAAAAAAAAACTATAACTATACATTCCAGTCGCATTCGTTCTGTCACGCGCGTACCCAACAAAAATAGTTTATAAATTTTTTATTGTTTTTTTTTTCAAATGTGGTACAATGCTTTTTCAATGACCTCGGGAAAATACACTTGCACCATGAAACACAAAATACAGAGGAAAAAGACGGGAACTTAGCCGCCAGCAGTGTTTGAAAGTGCGCCTACGCAGGCTGAGCCTTTCGAAATCACAGTCCACTCGGTTAAGGTTAACAGGGACGCCGTTGTGAGTCTAGCCTCAAACCCAGTGAATGGTCTCGAAAAAAGTTTGCTGCCCCTGGGGTCGAGTGTTTCTTGGAAAGGTGTATTTCATCAACCTACTCCGCGGCCGGGCGAGTTGGAGTGGTAAAGAATGTAATAGAGCAGTTCCAACTGTCCTCTTCCCCATTTTATGCAATGTCTATGGTCCGTAGCTTTCACAGTTACAAAAACAAACCTCTCCTCCCTCTAAAGCGCAATTAAAAAAAGAAAAAAAAAGTCGTCGGGTTCCGCCGTTCCTTTCGGCCGCTGGCAAATATTAGCCTTTATTTTGATGATTTCGCCGGCTTAAATCCTCTGCAAGGTCCTACCATCTGGACAAGAAGGAGAGTCTCTATGGGGCTGTCGATTGACATCCTTCCAACCAAGTAAGCCGGGCATATCGTCTGAGGTGATCGCTGACCCGCCTGCACGATCGCCGCCATGTTCCCTACGGCCAGCTTGCCCCAGTATACCATTGACGCCACTTGTGTGCCTGGCATCGGAGTGTTCAGCATAGCGCCACCGCTACACGCCGACTCAGCTATTGCGCCAAGTGAGGGCTCTCGTCAATCGCCTTCACCGTCAGACTTCATGACCTCTGGACATACTGTTTTCACGGTGGGAATCGTGCGTCTCATTACGCGCACAGATCTCACGGTGTGCTATTTCCTCAGCTTAGTACCGATCATTTCCTCTTCGCATCCTGCTGCCTCCAGCTGAGACCCTGAAGCTCGCCACTATTAGAGGCGAGATGTTTTGGTGGCGCCCTCCTATGGTTCCCCCTTGTGACGTCATTACCTTGCGAACAACAAGTTCGATGGTGTTTGTAAATAGCATGGTGGAAGCCTGAAATCGTTGCGCTCTCAAAGCAACACTGCCAACACCGTCGAAATTAAGGTTCTTTCATTCCTCTTATTTCCGTCGATAGTATACCCTTTCCGACGTCATAGTCAGGTTTTGGGCCAATCGTGGGAGGCGGACCACAGCGACGCTTTCGGTCGCGCACGGGGCTAATACAACCAAAAATCGGCTTTTTGCAAGTATTTTGCGGTTTCACTTAGTGACAGGCCATCCTGCTGCTTTTCGCCACAACGCTGCTCATTGCTGATCTCTTCTGGTCAGTGACACGCCTCCTACCATTACGCTGGTGGTTTTCGGCAGTGTTTTGTTCACTACCTTCGTTATCACCACCGACAACTTCCGAGTTCCCGCTCATCTCAAGTAACTCTGCTCCAGCGTCACCCACACTAACTCGCGTTGCAATGGGTGATTCCAACGAGTGCATCTCATGTCACAAGCCAACGCCTGCTGACGGTAGATTCATGACATGTTGTGAATGTTACTGCAGCAATCATTTAGGCCAGGGCTGCTCGGGCATTGCACCGAACACATTTAATGCGATGAGTGATACAAAACGAGATGTATGGAAGTGCAAGAGCTGCAGGCCTGGTATACTCCGTTTCACCTTCAGTCCGAGCGCAGTGGACGCCACGAGCCATCCCAGCCGATCCAGCGCCGGGAGAAAGTCGCGTGACCTGCCGGTGGGGCGGGGCGACACAGGGAGCTCAAGGTCGCACGACACTC